TTCTCTTTTGAGAGATGTGGCCTGATCGTTTATGTTATAACGAAGTGAAATTCTCATTGGTTAATTTATGTTTAATACTACGTTAATTCACATGCCATGTTTCTTTATAAGAGTCAATCGTATAAAGCAGATATAGGTTATCATAACGGGTAAAAAACTAGTACCCATAATATTTAAATTAAGAAAAAGATTAAATTGACTATTTTCAATGTAGAAACAGAAACCAAATTTTGTCCAAAAAGACGGTACTGCAAATGTTTCTTTCAAATCCAATAATAACCAGTCTTTAATAATAACCTAAAAGTCTTTATAACGCCAACTTTAACTGATTAGCCATCATCTCACATAGATGAATCTTTCAGCATCAATTAGTTTTAGGCTGTTTAGTCAACCTTGTATAGACACGTTTATTTGAATAATGACACTGAAATTTATCGACATAGTGTGTCTAGGTATTAAAACTAAATTAACCTTAGAATAGACAAAAATGAGAAGTGTACTTGACTTTACACGCCAAGCGTAGTATCTAGTACAATCTCTTTTCATTTGTCCTAGATTATCACAAAAGTAACAGTTAGATGATTTATCATTTCCATGCATTTGCTTTATCTATTGAGTCGAATGGGATGCAGCTTTCTTTTCTTTAGCTTGTCCATATAGGTACTTGCCAAGTAATTACTTCCAATTCTCTCTTGCTTTAGACTTTTTTTCTTGCACACAATATGAAACATTTATGAATTTCATAGTAACAAAAATACATGTCCTACTGAGACGAAATTTGTAACTTGCTCTCATATTGCAGAAGTTTTTGCAACTCAATTATAGATGATGGAATCATCAAAGATTTCACCTTAGCTCCATGGAACAATATGTTATTACTGAAACACAAAATAATTGAAATATATCTATCTAATCCGATTGATTGCGTGAAGCCCGCGATAGCAACGAAATTGAGGAAATTAAAGTCGATACGATCCATTCGTTCTGTTCGTCAAAATCCCGCAAATGTACGGGTTCGTTGTAAAAGTAATAATCGTGATGAGAAAGTTACCGTCCCACAGGGAATAAAGATTAATTCTAATATATTTGATATATTTAAATTCGTGTTGATAACCCAAAAACGATTGATGAATAACTAACTAATTTTTATAACCAAAACTTATGAAATCAATGAAAATTAGTTTAAGAAAATCAAATGTGTGAACGTATCGGATTTTCGACGCCACTGATTAATACTTAGTTCTAATTCTCAACCAGTAATAATTATCTTAATTTATGCAACTGCGACAATCGATAATTCTACTTTTATTTATTATTTATTTCCAAGATATAATACACCTATGGTTACCACGAGACGATCCTATTCCTAATCCAAATTCTTATGACAGACATGCATTGACATTTAGGATTATCACATATGATCACACACGCCACAAATATTATTCCTAACATTTATTGTCCGTGTATTCCAATAACAGTGTTCTATCTACCGTGAGTTTTCCAACACTACGAATGAGAAACTCATTGTCCTAATGGTGGGCAAACATTAAAACAATGTAAATAGGCATATTACTGGAATCATAACACAAGAATTAAGATAAAAACACAGGTCTCGAATTAAAATTAAGAATTAACCAATTTTGTCAACAATCCAATATATAAAAAAGATTAGCCTAACATAATGTTGAAATCAAACAAATAAAGTTTAAACGACGTCACCGAGTAATTGACAAAACATGATTAACTCCAATTATACTCTAGTAATCCATGTCTTCCTTGTGGTTGCCACCTTCGTATTTGTCGTAATGTTTGACTAAAATTTTTCCTTAAAGCTGCTACCCAATTGCCATATATATATATAGATATATATAACCAACAACTACCTTCTTCTTTAGCCAATTTCTCTCCTCACTTTCTGTTGCTGTGTTTGCCGTATATATATTTACAACAACAGCCCAATCTCCTTGTGTATGAAATCTAATTAGCTGCCTTTGTATCAATATATAAATCCACTAGTAGCTGGATTCTGTTCTCCAAGATGCTGACAAATTTTATGTGTTGTATGTATCAAAATCAGCCCAAGCATCCTCAATGTTTGTATAATTTCAACCAAATGGTAGCCCTAATTTTTCTCTTCCCGTCAACTTTTTCTATGGTTTTTTTCCTCTTCCTTTGCTAAAGGCAGCTGTCTCTATATCTATACTTTTAATTCAGCAACCAGCCTTTATTTTTGTGTGATTAGGAGTTCCAAGTGGCCGAAACTCCAATTCTACGACAATGCTTTCCCAAACTTTACTCACAATTTTCAGCCATTGTATGCGTGATTCCTCAAATCCCCACTTTTCTGTCTTTTGTTGGCCGGTATATATATTTATTTAGCAAAATGGCAGCCCTTTTGTTTTTGTAGCCCAATTAAACTTGGTGAAATTAATTGGACCAGCCCACTTTCTTGTGTAAAACAGGATTCCAATTGGCTAACGAATTTGAATCCAAATTTAAGTTCAAAACTTAGGCCCATTTAATTTATTATTTTCTTCATGTCCTCCACTTTCAAATTGTGAAATTTGATCTCCAATCCTTGCATCAAATAGCCAATTAATCCTTCATCATTTTCCAAATAGTCCATCACTAAAGACACAAAGAAAATTACCCTAAATTAAGTAGAAATCAATAATTTGACAATGTAATAGTTTAATTATGTGAAATAGATAAACACACAAATTGCACTTATCAAATACTCCCAAACTTAAACCCTTGTTCGTCCTTGAACAAAAATATAATTTAAATAACAACAAACACACAAGCATGCAAAAATATTTGGTTGGACCGTTTAGCTTTTTACCTCAAAACTTAAGATCACAGCATTAAATCTACAAAATGCTTCAAAGTCACAGTACCAAACTAATATCCAATTTTCCAATAGAAAATCGACGTGTCTGTGTGAAGAACTAAGTTGATATTAACGAATTCACAAGTTGTTCAAATTCCCGACCTTCTATGGTCAAATATATCATTTCATCTCTCATAAGATTGACACACCTTCAAACTTATTTTTTTCACTATTTTTCCAGTGTGTGATCTAAGATTGAATTTTTATTATGCTCACCTCTCTAATTCAGGTGGACATCACTAGTTACAAGTCAACACATCAGTGAACAAGAATTCTCCAATTATTTGATTGCTTCAACCGTCAAGACTCAATTAGGCTAATTATCCTTCATCGAAAGTCAAATTTCCTCGAACATGTGTTGGGATTTACAAGGCGTTTAGTGCTTTTACTTTTGCCATTATTTTTTTATTTTTATATTTTTTTATGTACTCCCCTTTAAGCTTTCTAGATGACCTATGTAGTGGACTTTAGACCGATGACTCCTAAATCAGATAACTTTAGAACATCAGGTTTTCAAATACCTTTACAGGCTTAATAACCCGAGTCAAAAAGATTTCGAAAAAAACAATATTTTTTTATTTTTTTTAGGGCAACTTCATCTCTGATTGCTTTCTAAATGACCCCTGTAGTGAGTTTTAAGCCAATAACTTCCAAGTCAGATGACTTTTTATGGCACCAGGTTTTAAGATATCATTGCAGGCTTAATTGTTTGAGTCATAAAGGCTCCACAGAGAGGTTTTAAATTTCAAAATATATGCCTTGATTAGTGCAATGCCCCTTATCACACACCTATTCAAGCAAACCAACCTTCAATTTAAAACTTTCACCTAATTTTATCCTGTTAATCTCAGATAATCCACACAAATTTTTTCACACAAAGAATCGAGATTCACATCCGTATCTTCCTACTACAGTAAAATCTCCTCAAATTGTACTAAATTTGATCTAAGGATAATTAATTAGTATGGTTTAGGTGAAACATCTATATCCAGCTAAATCAATCTATCAAATGCATGAATCAACTTATTTCATCATAATGTCAAACTCAATTCTATTGTGCATATAATATCAAGTTTAAGTTTCAATCAATTTAGCATGCTTCCTATCCACAATTCATAAATCAACACCAAATCTCAAATTTAATCATCATTGTTAGCCAAATTATCTAACCCACACAAGCACAGCCAAAAATAAATAAATAAAAATTTAACGATTTTTTTTTTAAACTTAGCGCTCACAATATTTTTTTTTTAAATTAAACATACGAAAACAACGCACAAAAACATACGAAAACCAAAAACACAAAGTGTTTCCCATCCCCAAACTTAAATCTGACATTGAGGAAAGCATAATTAAGAATATAAAGGGATGGAGAAGAAAAGAACGAAGGTACTCTCCATATTTTTCGATTGAACGTGGAAAGTACTGTAGATGATGGCTAGATAATCTTTCTCATCATACTTTCTCTTTGGTTTATGTTGGTTTGAGTGTTTCACAACGTCATGTTCTTGCATATGGCAATCAAATCAAATATTGAATATCAAATAATCTAGAACATGTGTTACTTAGCCCACACACTTGAAATAACCAACATTATATTTAAGGGCCTAAGTGGAAACATGATCGGATGATGATACCTTATAAATTTAAACGTGCCTAAATCTAATACAAACTAATAATCAAAACAAGTCTATATGCAATGCGATGCAGAAAACAAAATAAATAAAAGGTTTAGAAATTGGGTTGCTTTCCAATAAGCGTTTAATTTATAGTTTTTAGCTAGACTTTGTTGTTCCAGCTATTCATGGTGGCTTGAAAAGGAAAATTTCAGTTCTGCATTTTATGCACTGATTGTACTTTCTTCTCTCATATTTCATTCTCCACAAAATCAAGTTTCCGTCGCTGTTCCTACCAATAATTTCACCTTCATTTGGCCTACCTTTGTAGCTCTCCCAATTATCAACTCGTTGGCAATCCTTAAAGTAAGATGGTTGCTTGATTGGATTCTCCATGGTAAAGCTTTGTTACTTATCCTCTACCCTTAAGACTTTCTCATTAACATTAAAATCTAGCAAGGCTTAGCTAGTAGACAAAAATGGCCTTCCCAAGATTATTGCACCTGATATGCCTTATCTATGTCAAGGATGATGAAGTCAGCTAGAAAAATAAACTCCTTCGCCTTGATAAGCATGTCTTCAACTATTCCGTACGGGTGTTTCAGTGATCGGTCCTCCAGTTGAAGGATAATAAATGCCGCCTTAGGATCTCCTAATCCCAATTTCCTGTAAAGAGGTAGAGGAATTAGATTAATATTCGCTTTTGAATAAATTAAACAATTTATATAATTTAAATTTCCTATGGAGCAAGGTAGAGTAAAACTCTCTGAATCTTTAAGTTTGGGAGGGATCCTGTGCTGGATGATCGCACTGCACTCTTCAGATAGTGCTATTATTTCATGCTTGAACATTTTCCTCTTTTTAGTCAACATCTTCTTCAAAAATTTAGAATAGTTTGGTATTTGAAGGATAGCATCAACGAATAGAATGTTGACATGCAGCTTTTTGAGGACTTCCAGGAATTTCATAGCTTGTTTCTCCAAGTTGGTCTTCTGCAACCTTTGAGGAAAAGGGAGCAGAGGTGTTAGTGTAGTGCCGAGAACATTTGCCTTAAACTGTGTACTATCTGAAACTATCTTTTGATCATTGTCTATTGCTTCTCTAGACTGCTCCACCGATTCTTCTCCCATGGTAGGTACTTGATTCTTCTCGTTCACTTTCTTTTTCACTGTGATTTTTGGCAGCTAATCACCACTCCTAATAGTGATAGCATGAACCTGCTGTACTGTTGGTTGCCTTCACAGTCTCTCATGAAACGGAATGGGTCACACATACGCCTTGACAGGGTTGGCGGGAGTGAATGATGGGAGCTCAATAGTTGCATAATTTACCACCTCAACTGCTAATACCTGCTCCCGTGGGTTCTTCTCTATGTCACTCGGTAAGGTACCTGGGGGTCTATTAGCTATTACAGTTGCGATTTGTCCCACCTGCTGCTCCAAATTTTTGATAGACACCTGTTGATTTTGAAAGTTTGTTTTAGTCTTAACAGTGTATTGAGATAACAACTCTTCCAACGATGGCTTTCTCACTTGCTGTTGTTGTTGAAACCCTGGTGGTTTATTCTGACTCTCCCTGTTCTTGTTCTTGATTATTAGACCATGAAAAATTTGGATGGTTCCTCCACTCTAGATTATATATGTTGGAGTAGGGATTATTTTGCTATCTTTGAAAGTTCTGTGTGTAGCTCACTTCCTCAGGCTGATTAACATGTGTAGATGCCAAAAAACAGCGTGTAGTAGCATGATCTGCTCCACAACCTTCGCAAACATATGGCAATTGGTGTACCATGTTAACTGATTTAGACAGATTATCCATTTTCATTGTAAGAACTTCCATTTGCACAGCCCACTCTGTCACTGCATCCATGTTGTGTACCTCTACTGTTTTCCTTGGAGCTTCCCTGTCGACTGGCCGCATCGATTGATTTTCAGCTATTCTTTCATACAAAATAGCTAGCAAATAACTAACAAAATAACCATCTTGTGTACCCCTGCTGTTTTCCTTAGAGCTTCCCTATCGGCTCGTCAAGATTTTGCATATACCAAATAGCCTGCAAATAGTCAAGACAAAAGAGAATTAAGAAGTGTAATAATAGCCTAGAAACAACAAATTAAATAAACAATTAAATAAATGAAATAGAAAAAATAAAAATAAATCTAAAATATCTAATAACTAAAATTAACACCATTATTCCCCGGCCACGGCGTCAAGAGCTTGTTCGTCAAAATCCCGCAAGCGTACGGTTCGTTGTAAAAGTAATAATCGTGATGAGAGAGTTATCGCTTCACAGGGAATAATGATTAATTCTAGTAAATTTGATAGTGTTTGTAACTGAAAGATGATTAATGAATAACTAACTAATTTTATAACCAAAACTTATGAAATCAATGAAAATTAGTTTAAGAAAATCAAATGTATGAACGTATTGGATATCTGACGCCACTGATCAATACTTAGTTCTAATTCTCAACCAGTAATAATTATCTTAATTCATGCAATTGCGACGATTGATAATTTCACTTTTATTTATTATTCTTTTTCAAGATATAATAAACTTATGGTTACTACGAGACGATCATATTCTTAGTTCGAATTCATATGGAAGATATGTATTGACATTTAGAATTATCACATATGATCGCACACGCTACAAATATTAATCCTAACATTTATTTTCCGTGTGTTCCAATAACAATGTTCTACTTACCGTGAGTTTTCCAACACTACGAATAAGCAACTTATTGTCCTAATGGTGCACAAACATTAAAATAATGTAAATAGGTATATTACTAGAATCACAACACAAGAATTAAGATAAAAATACAGGTCTCGGATTAAAACTAAGAATTAAACAATTTTGTCATCAATCCAATATATAAATAAAATTAGCCTAACATAATGTTGGAATCAAACAAATAAAGTTTAAACGACATCACCAAGTAATTGATGAAATGTGATTAACTCCAATTATACTCCAGTAATCCGTGTCTTCCTTGTGGTTACCGTCTTCATATTTGCCGTAATGTATGACAACAATTTTTCCTTAAAGCTGCTGCCCAATTGCCATATATATATATATATATATATATATATATATATATAACCAACGACTACCTTTTTCTTTAGCCAATTTCTCCCCTCACTTTCTGTTGCTGTGTTTGCCATATATATATTTACAACAACAGCTCAATCTCCTTGTGTATGAAATCTAATTGGCTGCCTTTGTATCAATATATAAATCCACCGAAGCCGGATTCTGTTCTCCAAGATGCTGCCAAATTGTATGTGTTGTACGTATCAAAATCAGCCCAAGCAACCTCAATGTTTGTATAATTTCAACCAATTGGTAGCCCTAATTTTCTCCTCTTCTCGTCGACTTTTTCTATGGTTTTTTTCCTCTTGCTTTGCTAAAGGTAGCTGTATCTATATCTATATTTTTAATTCAGCAACCATCCTTTATTTTCATGTGATTAGGAGTTCCAAGTGGCGAAACTCCAATTCTGCTGCAATGTTTTCCCCAAACTTTACTCATAATTTTCGGCTACTGTATGCGTGATTCCTGAAATTCCCGCTTTTCTTCTTTTGTTGGCTGGTATATATATTTATTTAGCAAAATGGCAGCCCCTTCATTTTTGCAGCCCAATTAAACTTGGTGAAATTAATTGGACCAGCCCACTTCCTTGTGTAAAACAGGATTCCAATTGCCTAACAAATTTGAATCCAAATTTAAGTTCAAAACTGAGGCCCATTTAATTTATTATTTCTTCATGTCCTCCACTTTCAAAGTGTGAAATTTGTTCTCCAATCCTTGCATAAAATAGCCAATTAATCCTTCATCATTTTCCAAATAGTCCATCACTAAAAACACAAAGAAATTACCCTAAGTTAAATAGAAATCAATAATTTGATGACTTAAAAGTTTAATAATGTGACATAGATAAATACATAAATTGCACTTATCACGTTCATAGAACTATTTACTCGATCGCATACATTTCTGGAACGATTTCATTAAAAGTCTACTTTCATTTTTGACGTTGTAATTGGCTTTAAATTAATCGAATTGTGTAGGAAGAGAAATCAAAACTATATGCACGAGCAAGTCATCAAACAACTCAAAATTTAATGCCATTGGTTATGTTATTGGACACAGCGCTACTGAATGTTGGAGTTTTACGCTTCATAATCATAAGATTTATGCAGTTTGAACAATGCCATTTATTCGAGTCCTATTTTATTAGTGAATCTCTTATCCGTAAGAGCAGTGGATTGGTTAGTTCTAATACAAGATCTAAATCCATGCCACCAAGAATGATACAAACGTGCTCTTTCCAACCCTTAAATTTTGGTTCAAGAATAGAAATTGATTTGATGTTGACAAATATTGTAGAAGTAGATGGATTGATTGAATAAAGAACCTAAACCTAATTAACATGTTCACATAGGAATCCGTATAGAATAATCAATAATTTCAAATAATGATGGACCCATCACAAGAGACTAAGCACAGAATTGATATTTCGTCTTTGGACAAAAATATCAATGTGTAAGTGGTACTATTGGTGTAGTAATCAAATATCGATAATAAATTCGGTTAAACATCAAGTCTGTCTTTGGACCAATTCAATATTTACATAATGGAAAACTTTACAATTGTCACATATTTATTACCATAGATGTGTGAAAATAATTAGGCCAAAAATTGGCATCCATTTAGGTCGGTGAATATCCGCATAAATAACATGCACACAACCGTCTTAATATTCCAAATAAATTAATTTAAGCAAAAGAGATTACTTTAGTAGCATGTTGTTTCAACTAATCTATTTTATAAATTTAGTACTCCGAAATAAATATTAAGTAATCCGATGCTGCGTTCTGAATTTTGAAATTTATTGCCAAAATAAAATATTCCAAAACTCAATATATGAATTTCAACAACAAAATTCTTCCTTTAATCCCAATAGTTTAACATAGAGTTGACTCTAATACCACTTGTTGAAACTTTAAACTTTATAAAATTAGAAACTTTAGAACTTGAAAACATAAATTCCTTTATTGCCAAGATCTTCCATGTCAAATCACCAAGAAAATTAATTAATGCGAAACATACCTTAATTCATCGGGAATGATTCTTCATTACTGGATCATAATTCCGGATCTTGAATATTTATCTCTTTGATTCTTGAGTTCTTGTTCTTGATTTTTGCTTCTTGTTCCATAATCTTTTTTTTTTAATTCATTCTTCTTGATTCTTAATTATAGATTGTCTGTTTTTTACTATGGATTTTTGGATCTTCCTCTTCAATATACTTTCTCTTGTATTCTTGTATTAATGGGATGACACAAAAAATGAGAAGTTACATATGAATTAAGCACTATAGCCCTATATATAATTTCCATATGTATTTCGTCCATCACGAAATACAATTCTAAAGCATATAAGTGGCGTTTATTATATTTAGATGTTCTAAACCCAACAATTTAATTCTTTATTAGATCACTTTAATTTTGAGCTTAACTTAAGATAGTCGTAGACACAATTAATTATATATATATGCCCACATGACAAATTAAAAATTTCCCAACAAGTAATCCATACATGCATTTTATTAAATGCAATAACTTTAATTCTTATGCAGTAAAACTACTTTTGGATAAAAGCAAGAGCATATGTTCAAAACACAGCAGAATCATACTAGTACATATTACGCAACAATTGTAATAAGAGTGCGAGTGTTGTGGGTTGACCTAGATGAAGCGTACGAATGTGCTTTCTACAAGTGTAAACAAGAAAATCTGATTGCTGCTACTATTATTGTCCACCAGCAGAAGCTTTCTATAAATGGTCTGCACTTAACATGAGAAAGAGGTAAGAATTGTTTCTAAAACAATTATCTTATAAGCTATAATGCTACCCAGGGCCGGTCCTGGGCTGAGGCATTTGAGGCCTCAGCCTCAGGCCCAAAACCCTTAGGGGGCCCAATTTTGCTTCAATTTTTTTTTTTTTTTTTTTTTTTTGGGGATAGTTTTGGATTTTGGATGTTATTTTAATTTTGTATTGTTTTCGTAAACTTGTAATGCTCAAATTTTTGCGTACATAATTGAAAATGTTATTAGATTTTTACGTAAATTTTTACGTTGATTTCGTCCGGGGGCCCAATTTACGGACCTCGCCTCGGGCCTCCATTATCACAGGACCGGCCCTGATGCTACCGTAGCTCTCTTCACATTGCTAATATATATTTTTGTTCTAAATATAGGAAAGGGCAAAACATTGTTCAAACAATGTGCACATCTATGGAAGAAGATATGTAGTTCTACATCAAAGTCATACCAAAAGATAAATGACAGGATGGGTGAAGGTATTGGTATTAATAACAAACCTGATAAAGGAATGTCAACACCGAACAAACAATCATCAGACTTTGTGTGAAGTGTTGTTTCTAGAGTTTGAATTCACTCCTTCGAAAACAATCGGACAGAATTACCTGAATGCAGGAATTGATCAACAGGATCAGAAATTGTAATTCGAGCCCACCGACTTCACGATGTGTCCTTAAAACGAATTTGCTGCCTTCAATGGTGCTAAAGGCGTCCAGCAATCGTTTCCCAGGATAGAACGAATTTTTCGTCTCCTACGGAAGCAGCACTGCAGTCTGTAGGAGTTCCAACGAACTCAACGAAGTGTTTTTAACTTCGAGACAATATCAGAACGAGAGAGAGGGAAATGAGATTCAAAGCACAGAAAGTTTGCAATGAAAATGGTGTAAATTTTCTGGTAGAAAGGCTGGCTATTTATAGACTTGTTCGTGGCCATTCGAACAGTCATCACCTTTCAGACAAGCCTCAAAAATCCGAACAGACATACTGTTCTTAAAAGTCGTGTCTGTTAAGTCGGTTAACAGTCGGCTAAC